AAGAGTAAATAATAATAAATAGCTCTTAATCTGAAGTATTATAGTTTAGCTTAATATTAAAGAACTTATAGAATTAGAATATAACTAAATAAAATATATTCTTGATATTAAATTAAGATAGAATATTACTTATTTTTTTTTTTAATATATTAGTTTCTAAACAGCAGGGTTTTGTAGAATTAAAATATATTAATAAAAATACTTATTAAAAAATAGTAATAAGACAGCGAAAAGTAGTCTATTTAATTAAGATTAGATAGATCTTTTTTAACTTCTGTCTGTTAATTATTTTATAAAGTAAAAAAATAAGAGATAAGATAATATAAGAATAATCTTAAATAAATTATTAGTAAAAGTTATAGAATCTAAGAAAGATCTAGATATTATAATAATTTTCAGAAATTAATTATAAAATAATATTATTTATTTATCAAGAATTTATAGATATTTTATCAGAATTAATAATATATTCCAGAAATTTAACTTGAGATTAGTAGAATAAATATTTTAATAATTTTATATAGAGCTGAACTTCTTAAAGCCTCTCTAAAACTTAATAAATATATTTTATATAAGATTTTTTATCTAATAAAAAGATAAGAATATTATTTAGATATATTATATAAAAATTATTAAGGAGTTCTTAAAATATAATATATATATAGTTTTGAAAAGTTGCTAAAGTATTAGTTAATTTAAATAATATAATTATATATTTAAAGTGGCTGTATCAGATATAAAATACTGTCTTTTATTTATTATTTTTTTTAATATAGATTTAATAATATATATTCTTGATATTAATCTTTGAAAAGTAGATATTTTCTGAAATTCTGTTAAAAATCTCTAAAATAAAAAATAAAAAATAATAATTCTTAATAGAAATCTTATTAAGATCTCTATAATCTATATAAAAATATAAGCTATTATTTTTTTTAAATATAAAGAGAATAGAGATTTCAGCAGGGCTCTTTAAAAATTAAATTTAATCTAATTTTAAATTTTCTTTAATATATTTTTATAGAATCTTGAGTTCGGCTTTGAATAAGAGATATATTAAATTATAAAAAGATATTTTATTAGATTTAATATTAATAATATAATTTATAGAATTATAAGAAGATAGCTGTTAAGAGAAATTTATAGAGAATATATCTTAAAACTGCTTAAGTTTAATAGAAATTATCTTAGAATTTAATAATAAATTATAAGATTCTTTTTCTAATAGTCAGATATTTTTAGAAAGCTTAATAATAATATATACTCTTACTGAGTTTTAAGTTACTTTAGTAAATTAAATAATAGAAAGTAGTAAAATAGATAGTATATTAAATTATTACTGACAATTTTATACTGATAAAATAATATATAAATTATAAAATATAATTATTAAAAGTAGTATAGAGCTGTCTTTTAGTTAAGGATTCTGATTAATCTTTATATAATACTGTTTAAAAATATAGATATCTTCTTATAAATTAATAGTAATAATAAAGACTTTCTATATACTATAAATAAAAATAATAATTTGATTAATAGCTTTAATCTTTGATATAGTAACTGAGATATATTAGAGATTATAAGCTTTAATAAACTAGTAACTAATAATATTTATTTTAATATAATTATTCAGATCTGCAAAGATTTTGAGACTGTTTTAGATATAAATAGAAATATAAAAATAATATATAATTTTTATTATAGATAAAGAAGTTAAAATTATAAGATTTATTTTAATTTCTCTACTTTTTTCTCTGAATTTAATAAAAATTAATAGATTCTAGTAGATTAGATTTTTTTATTTTTAATAGAATATTAATTTATAAAATATTAGATATTTTTATATATAAAATATTATAATTAATTACTATTCTTTTTAATAGAGTTTTTTCTGTGATTCAGGATATTTTTTTTAATAATTTTACTAGTGATTTCTTAAAAGTACTTGTATGACTTATAATTATTAAATTAGTTATTATTTTGCTTATATTTTTCTCTATTTTTTTATAGTTTATAATAATAAGTAGTAATAGCTATTATTTTGTCTTGTTTTTTTGATAAATAAGAAATATATTTTTAAATATAATAGTTTAGATCTGATAGTAGCTTAGTAAAGTAGAATAAAACTTTTTTTTTTTTTATTTAATAAGAAAAATATTACTTTAAGATATTAAGATAAATATAAAACTCTTGCGGATTCTGACTGTATTATTAATAAGTTTATTTAAGTTAAGTTATAATATCTGATTAAAAAATAATAGTATTTTAAATTAATATAAGAGTCTAATCTTTAAATTAAGACTATAATTTCTTGAGAAATTATCTCTTTTTCAAATTTTTATTATTTATAAAATAATATTATCTCTATTTATATATTAGATTTATATAGCTAATAGTAGCAAGAATCTTGTATTTTTTTAATAAATATTTTTTAAATATATCTCTGAATATATATTTTAAATTAATAATTTATTTTTAATATTTTTAAAGATTGAAGTTCAGGACAAAGTAAAAAATATTTTTAAACTTAATCTCTTTTTTATTTTTTTCTAATTTAGGGGAGAATTAATAGTATCTTAAGAAGATTTTACTTAAGAAGTTATTTCTTTGAAGATAAGCTATTCTTTACTATAAGTTAATAATTTATTCTAATTAATAAATATAATCTTCTAGCTGTTAAATCTCTTTAATAATAAAAATAATATTTAATAAGAATTCTGGATTAATTTAATTACTAAGTACTTTTATTTTTTTATTATCTTTAATAAGTAATATTTTTCTTAGATAGTTGAAAAGAGAAGAATTAGAATATAATAGAATCTATTTATCAGAGTAGAAAGTCTATTAATTAAATAAGAAATTAATTATAAAACACTGTGTATTTATTTAATAATAATAAAAATAGTTTATATTTATAAGATAGACTGATTCTTGAAGGATCAGTAGCTTTTTATAGAGAGATTAGTATCTTATAAATATCAAAGAGATATAGAACCACTATTAATAATCTTATAACTCTCACAATCATTATAACATATTATTCTGATGATACAACTCTTATAATCACTATAATATGTTATCCTGATGATCTTTATCCCGATAGCTGGGTTATTCTATCACAAAAAATTACTTTGCTTATATTATAATTATTATTTTAATTTAAATATTTTTTATTATTAGATTAATAATAAATAATATTTTTTATTTAATAAATCTTTTTTTTTAATAATAAGTCTTCAGCTTCTTATTCTTAATATTATAATTAAAATTATTAATTTTAATATTCTTTTCTTGGCTTCTTGCTATAATAGTTTCTTGCTAAATAATATTTATTATTACTAATTATAATTATAATATATATAATATAACTTTATTTTTTATTAAATATTTTAAATTTTTATAGTTATTTATACTTTATTCAGATTCTAAAATATTTACTTATAATAAATATATTTAAATTAATAATTATATTTCTAAAACTAGGTCACATATTTAAAAGATACTAGTATTATTAGTTATTATATCTAATAATTAATAGATAAGATTATATTTATATAAGATTAATAAAATAATTATAGCTAGATTTTTATTAATATAAGATTTAAATATTAATTAAAAATTTAATAAAATCTTATAATAATTTATATCTTTTATTAAAAAATATCTAGTTAAATTAAAAAATATTTTTTAATTAAAATTAATTTAATAATTTATTATAATTAATATTTATTTAATATCTAGAAATTTTAATAACAGCTGTATATATATCTTTTCAGATAATTTTATAATTAAATATATATTATATTTTATATATTATTTATATAAAAAAAATATATATATTATAAATTAATTTATAATTATTAATCTATCTATTATATTTAATCTTTTTAATTAATAAATATAAATAGTTATAGTAATAATTATATCTTAATCTAATCTTAATTATATAATTAAAAATTTTTTATATCTTAATCTGACTATCAGATTATGGCCAGGTTAAGATTAAGATATAACAGTCAGGTTAAGCCACTCTAATAAGAACTAATTTGATACTATAAATAGTTTTAATTCTTAAAATCTAATCTATAATCTATTTTAAAAATTACTTTGCTTATATTATAATTATTATTTTAATTTAAATATTTTTTATTGTTAGATTAATAATAAATAATATTTTTTATTTAATAAATCTTTTTTCTTAATAATAAGTCTTCAGCTTCTTATTCTTAATATTATAATTAAAATTATTAATTTTAATATTCTTTTCTTGCTATAATAGTTTCTTGCTAAATAATATTTATTATTACTAATTATAATTATAATATATATAACATAACTTTATTTTTTATTAAATATTTTAAATTTTTATAGTTGTTTATACTTTATTTAGATTCTAAAATATTTACTTATAATAAATATATTTAAATTAACAATTATATTTCTAAAACTAGGTCACATATTTAAAAGATTCTTTTAGAAATTAAATAAATAATAATTATTAAGTATTAACTTATGTCTTATTTATATTTTATCCTAATAATCTTATTATTATTAATGTTAATTAATTACTTAAAAAAAGCTTTTATTTACTTAACTCTTTTTTTTATTTATATATTTTAGATTTCTTTTAATTAACTAGCTTACGCAGATATGTGCTTGTCGCCGGAAGTCAAGCCCTAACACTCGCATAGACAGCACGGAATTTCTTGGCTGGGCCCGCTGGGGGATAACCTCAGATGAAAGTTTCTCCAGTAGCACGGGCATTTCTGTCAGTGCTATTGTGCCCGTGCGCCCTCGTGTACGAGCCGAGCCACCCGCAGACCTCATCCGCGTCGCCAACCAGAGACACTCAGACACTCGCCACGGCCATACCCCAGAGATGGTCCATACAGAATTCGTGACGCCGCACTACGATTGTGTGTGGTAATCTAGTTCGCCCTCGTACTAGGGATGCAAGCCGCAGCCTCGGTCCCTGTGGGATTTTGGACCCCACAGACCATCCTGCATAAGCTCGACGACACTGCCACGGAATTCTCCTAGTGTTTCCACCCACCCAGGGAGATCGGTGATGTCCTCGACATGACTTAATGAATGATCTCCTTTTTTGGTCCGATTCTCAAGGCCCGTCTTCCCGGATAAATGAACCTATTTACCTATATGAGTGCTTCTGGGACGTGATCGCCCGAATAGATTAAAGTAGATTAAAGGCCGACTTCCCATCTGGACCAGGCAGCACTCGCTAACTGCCTTGGACTTAGCCCGGGTGTCCATTTCTAGTCTGTCGACTCCCCAATCGTCTTATTTTTCTTGTGCAGGCCCCGAACCGACCGTGACACGGATCGTTCCAGCTGGTGGTGGCTTGAGTCACTTGCGACCGACACGGAGACGCCGGGCGTTTTATCGTGCCTCTTGTGCCTCTTGTGCCTCTTATGCCTCTCGGGGGAGTTCAGCCGGGCCAGTCGCTGCAGGACGAGACAGCGCGTAGTTTAGCGTTCGCGCAGCGCCCAAGGTGCTGACGGGGTCGAGCTGAGCTGAATCAACTGGCTGGCTGACCGGCTGGTCTAGACCTGCCGTCCGCGGTAGGTTTCACGGAGGGTTTTTGATTGATTATCATGAGGAAGGAGTGCTATTCTCGCCCAGTCAGGAGTATATTCATTCGATACGGCGACGCGCTGTACCTCCCTCTCCCTCCAGTCGACCACCATGGCGTTTACAACCGTGTCGCGACGGCCTAATAAGCTACTGCAGTCAACCGTGACTGTGGACGACAAGTCAAGTCCTTGAGTTTGTCCAGCGTCTCCCTCATGACATCCGTGGCCTAACACAGTCAGTATCTAACCCAGGTACTTCCACCGGCTGAAAGCGACTCACCCCACATGAAGTCCTGCCAGTCATAATCCGCCCATAGATCGGGATTCCTGCCCGGGCCCCAAAGGGCTTCATCTCTCTTGCGCTTCTCCTCGCCCAATGCCTTCCACGTCACTGCAGCGCTTTTGTCGATTTGCTCGGTTTTCTCCGCTCGTTCCTTGCGCACGCGCTCGTGAACCGCCAACGCGCCGTCCATATCGTCAGCCAGCGAACATGAACCGCCCCCTGCGCCACATACAGCAGCATCGCCCATCCGGACGGCGCGATTCTCGATCCGGGTCGGCAGCGGAAAATGCCGATTGAGCGTCCATTCCATGTCTCGCGATTGGGGAGTGGGGACACAGTCCAATAAACTGCGTACCAGTTCATTCCATTCCGAGTAAATCGGCCTCATCTCCCATTTATCGCCGTTACTCGTCCAGATTTCCTCGGTCGCGACCCCTCCTTCTGCGGATATAGCAGCACCAGACTATACACGCTGTTATCTTTGATCGCATACGCCATGCTATGCCCCCCGGGTCCATCTAAGGCATTCCACATCCTGCCCCAGCAGTTCCAGCGCCCGTCGATCGCCCTGCGTCTTATACATGGGAATTATGATCCGATACGCCGTATCTCCGGTCGGCCGACAGATATTTCTTGACGTCGCGATGCGCCGCCATCTGTGTTTGATACCGTCCGCGCCAATCACCCATCCGCCGGTGCGCACCTGCACACGGACGAAGAGACCCGGCGCTGCACAAGCGATCCGCGAATCGGTCCGGGTAGTGATCCCATGGTTCTGGACCGCGTTGAGCAGAATCCGTGGATAACTGTCAGCGGTGCGCGGTAGCGTTTTCCGACCTATACATTTCAAATTAGCACTTTTCAGAACCGCCAATTTCTCCGTTTCCCACCTTGACAGGCATACCTACAACCACGGCAAAGGCAAAGTCAACGCGAAAAGGCATACTAGATCTCACATCGGGGTGGATGGTCTACCTTGCCGAGGACGTCCGGAAGCTGTCCGCTGCTGTACTTCGTAGTACTGTGCCAGAGTACAATGTTGTGCTCTGTAAATGGGAACTGGTGGGTAGAGAAATGGATGAAGGAGTGGAAGTCCAGGAGACACGTCGCCGGGTGTTAGAACAGGAGACGTGAAGTGATGTCATTCGGGAGACCACACAGAAGAGGCCAAATTGGCAAGAAAAAAAAAAAAAGGGGGGGGGGGCTCATTAAGAATTATTGCAAAGCAAGGAAGTATATACGGCATCAATCATCAATTACACATCCAAAATAATAATCATGGGCGAACACTACTGCTCCTTCTTCGCGCCCTCCCACTGCAGGTCGGTCATGGGGCCATGCTGCGCGAACCAGACATCCTGGAGATAATTGCCGCGAGGCACCCACGGGCCCCGATCCGCAGCCTTGGGCAACGCCCCCTCCGCCTTCGTTACATACGTGGAATTAAGATTCAGCAACCGCCGCGGCTGTAACTTGCCGACGTCTGCCCGGTCGACTCGCGGTATCACCGCCGTGCTTCCACGGTTCTCCATCTCCTGCATCAGTCGGCACAGGAACAGTGCCGTCGCGTCTGCTCCCAACGTCCACGAGGCGTTCGTGTACCCGATCACGAATGCCGCGTTGGGCAGATCCTGCACCATCATGCTGTGCCACAGGAACTTGTCGGGCAGATGCATCGGGATGCCGTCCACGGTGATCGAGGCCCCGCCCGCGATCTGGAGCCGGAGGCCCGTGGCGGTGACGATTAGGTCTGCGGGCAGGGTTTCGCCCGAGGTGAGCTCAATCCCCGTCTCTGTGACGTTCCGGATGGTGTCTGTCTTGATGTCCGCGTGGCCGGTGTGCAGCGCGCGGAAGAAGTCGCCGTCCGGGCAGACGCACAGGCGCTGGTCCCATGGACCGTAGCGCGGCTTGAAGTGCGGCGCGAAGGGCAGGGAGGCGGGCAGCTGCCGGGAGACGGAGAGGCGGAGGAGCAGGCGCGCGGCGCCCGGGAAAGCCTGGCAGAAGAGGAAGAAGAGATGCGAGGTGATGAACCAACTCATGCGCTGCACGCGTCGGAAGGCGGCGGTGGGCAGGATCCAGCTCAGCCAGGAGCGGTTGCGGTTCGGCAGCGACAGGATGTAGGTCGGACTGCGCTGTAGCATGGTCACCCGTGCGGCCTTTTCGGCCAGCTTGGGGAGCAAGGTGATGGCCGTGGCACCGCTCCCAATCAGCACGATATTCTTGTCGCCGTAGTCCAGGTCCTCGGGCCAGAATTGCGGATGGATCACCTCGCCGCCGAAGCGCTCCAGGTTGGGGATGTCGGCCTGCATGGGCTGGTGGTAGTCATAGTAGCCGGTGCCGAAGACGACGAAGCGCGCGGACAGAGGGCGCGACTGGCCGTCGTGGTCGACGGACAGCGACCAGAGCTGGTCGGACGAGGACCAGTCGGCCCCCAGCAGGCGATGCTGGTAGCGGATGTGCTTGTCGATGCCATACTTGGCGGTGGCGCGGTGGAGATACTGCACGATGGATGGGCCCTCGGCGATGGGGTTCTCGCGGTCCCAAGGATACCACTCGAAGCCGAAGGTGAACAGGTCCGAGTCGGAGCGGATGCCCGGATACTTGAAGAGATCCCAAGTGCCGCCCAATGACTCGCGGGCCTCGATGATGGCATACCGGTAGTGGGGGAATTGCTTCTGCACCCGGTACGCCGCGTTGATGCCGGAGATGCCCGCGCCGACAATGAGCACGTCCAAGGGCTCGGAGTCCATAACGGATGGATACGTGAATAAGTGAATGGGGAGTCAATTAATTGGATTCTGTCACCGTCACCATCGGTACCAGGGGGGGGAGGTTTTTTTATAGCGAGAGGGTGATGGGAGGCTTGGGAGCTCACATGGCCTCCTCGGCTGGTTTGTCCTCGGCAAAAGGGAGCGAAAGAATGGGACGCGCAAAAAGGCCGGGACTACTGCGAGTGTTCTGTATTTTGGGACCCTGGAGGATCGGTGAAGATCGGCGGGCGGGTCCAGGGACCCGCCCGAACCGGAAAGAAACCCTTGCAACGGCCTCACATGCTGGCGATCCACCGGCAACCTCTTGGGTCTTTTCTTCCTCTCTCAAGTTTTGGAGCTGCAGCAATGTACGACCTGGCTCGTGACATCTTAAGTAGCGTTGCCCGGGCCTGGGGTAACACAACCTGGGATCATGCTGGTTGAAACAGTCCTACCCTACTCTCAGTAAGCAATGAGGCAGCCTGCAACCCTCGCTCTCTCTCTTGCGGAGAAGCTCGACTTCCTCCCTGCCCTGGCCTCCATCGTGCTGGCCATCTTCTGGGCGGCCTTGACAGCCCTGGGCCGGTCCAAGGCTTATCCCAAGACCCTGGCCCTGCACATTGGATATGCGGCCTTCCGCAAGGCCACGGCCCGCCTGAGCGTGGCGCAAATGCAGTATGTCTGCCAATGCACCCCAGCCCTAACTTGGATGCCTTCGTGCTACCATCACCACCACTCACGCGCCTAACTAGATATGCCCTCCCCACCACCAACAAGACTTACGACCACTTCATGCGGAAACGCCAGCTGCCCCGTAAGACGGTGAATCTGGGCGACGGCGCCCAGGGGCACTGGATTGGTGACGAAAAGGCCGACAATATCCTGATCTGGTATCACGGTAGACCATCCACCCTCCTCCCCTTGCATCAGGTATCCCACTAACACCCCACGCAGGCGGCGGCTTCGCCCTCCCCGCCAACACCGGCTACTTCAACTTCTTCACCAAGCTGATCGCGGCCACCGCATCATCCAATAAATCCCTGGCCGTCTTCACCCTCACCTACACCCTAGCCCCACAAGCCACCTATCCCACGCAGATCCGCCAGGCCGTCTCCGCCCTCCGCCACGTCCTGGACCACGCGCACCACCCACCCGCCTCCATCCTGCTCGGCGGCGACTCCGCCGGCGGGAACCTGGTCGGTGCGGTGCTCTCGCATCTCGCCCATCCCCACCCCCTCATCGCCCCCGTCCCGCTCTCCGCCCCCCTCCGCGGCGCCATCATGATCGCCCCCTGGACAAGCATGGAGACCGACTACTCCGCAGATCCCATCGACTCGCGCGGCGACCTGATCACCCCCGCCGTCGCGGGCCCCTGGTCCCAGGCTTACCTGGGCGGCGCGCCCCGCGATTACTATACTGATCTCTCGACCGCCCCGGCGGACTGGTATGCTTCGTTCCCTGTGGACCGCGTGCTGGTCTGTGGGGGGGGTTGTGAGATCCTGTTGCCTGTTATTCGGGACTTCGTGGAGAAGTTCCGCGCGGGCTTTTCCAACGTGGAGCTTTGTGTGGGTGCGGGCGAGGGTCATGTCGCTCCCATTTATAATTTGTATATCGGGGATAGGGATGAGACGGCTCAGGGGAAGAGGGTGGTTAGTTGGCTGAGAGAGTTCTGTGTGTAGGTTGTTGGTGGGTTTTTTTGATGGTGGTTTTTGAACATAATTTATTTTAATGCGTGGGTAGTTAATGAGAATCTTTGTCCGTGGAGCTGTACATGGTTGATTTCAGTGTGTGGGGGGGGGGGATGTTCCGAGACTTTATGTGGTTTGCATTTCTGAAGTTGATATGCGATGCGCGCTTTCCACAAGACATGACGGAGTATAGTCTGTCTGCCTAAATCACCATCGATCTATCTATGAAACGGTCGGACCAGATAGCCTCTTACGATACGTAAATCAAATAACCGATGCAACCCTCTTGCCGTGAATAATAATAAATGGCCGGACAAAGTCCCTCAGAGTACCAAACTTGATTACGTCCGCAGCATGACGCAGGAATAAACCTGTACACCTAGAATACATGACCCCCAACGCCTGCCTTTCCCCGTCCCAGGTCACCTCACGCCTTCTTCTGCAAGTCCCGCAGCATCAACAGATCCATCGAGCCCAGCGTCCTGGCCTTCTCCTGCAGCCACGTCGGGAACGCCCGCACCAAACTCACCGGCCAGTATTTCTCGGGGAGAATGACCTGCCCGCTCTTCCCGGACCGCACCTGCTCGACAATCGCGTGTCCGACCCGCTCGACCGTCAGGATCGGCTGCTTGAATTGATCGCCGGCGTCTGTCAATTGCTGGATCATGGGTGTGCGCACCCAGAGTGGGTGGATTACACTGCAGGCAGACAGGTATATTAGATCTTGTTCCAACTGAATTTCTTCTCTTTTTTTCGAGGGACAGAAGAAAACGAAAAAAAAAAAAAAAAAAAAAAAAAAAAAACCATACCTCGTCTTCACCCCCGTCGCCTTATACCAGTGCTTCAATTCCTGGCCCAATCCCTCGTGGAACGCCAACGCGCTGGCCTTGGAGCAACAATAGTCCACCATCTCCCCCAGAGCCACGAAACTGGCCATGCTGGCCACCGTCACCACATGGCCGTGGTTCTTCTCGATCATCGCCGGCAGGAATTCCCGCACCATCAGGAAGTGGCTGATCGTGTTGACTTCGAACGTTTGCCGGATTTTGCTCTCGGGCTCGTCCAGGATCGAACCGTCGTGACCCACACCCGCATTGTTGATCAGGACTGTGGGGTGTCCGTGGTCTTCCCGGATCTGCTCGGCCGTGGTGTGGAGGGCTGTGCTGTTGGTGATGTCGGTTTTGTAGAACGATACTCTGGCGGCTGTGGGCGGTGATTGGTTAGATGGCGCTTGCTTACGGGAAAAGAGGTGGGGGGAAACGTACGGAGCTTGAAGTTTGGTTCCTGGATGTCCAGGATGATAACTCGGGTGCCCTGACTCGCTAGCTCGGTCATCACTTGTTTGCCGATACCGCTGCAGCCGCCGGTCACCAGGACCAGCTCGAGCGCATTGTCCCATTTCACGCGGGAGCAGTTATTCAGCGACAGGCTTGTGAGGGCCCGGTTGGTCTGGCGCAGGAAGCCCAGCGCCAGCACGGCCGCCAGGGCCTTGGGGACCAGGGGATGAAGCAGCGCCTGCTGCACCGGAGGGGGAAGATGGGCCAGGGCGGTTTGGCTCCATTCCTGGACGAGCGCGAGGGAGAGGACAGACATGATAAAGAATCAGTTCGGAGACTTGCTGGTTTAAGGATGCATGTACGCACTGCAAGTGGCGCGGAGGCCAGACGCAATATATTTATACAGAGCTCAGAGCTCGGCGGGCCACGTTGCGGGCTGCACCCATGGCCCACGGGAGATGGACAGATGGATGGGTACGAGGTAGGACATACCAATTCTTTGACCAGTGGAGGACCAACCGAGGCTCACATGAGGGGCCTGAAGTCGCATAATTCAGATTGGCCCCTCTCTACTGAACAGGCAAGGGTTGCGATGGATCGTCCCGGCCGCGACCCAGGGTTTCAACGTGGGTGCGGAGATGCGATCCACCCTTGGTCGATCCAACGTCGCCGATCCAGTCGCACAAGAAGGATGTCCTTTGTCCATGTGATCCGTCAGTACGGACCGCTGGGCCAGCCTAGTCGGGGATCCGAGGGCAATCCCACGGGGTCAAATCGTCCTCCGAATGATGGCTGCTGGGAGATTAGGGCTGTCGATCCGATCGGCGTCATCTGCTGAGCCGAGGCATCGCCCTTCCTCCCACCAACGATGATCAGGACTCGTTTAAAGACCTGGCCATCGAGGAATCCTCCGTAATGTCTCCTTTGTGCGACTCTGTACCACACCATGGACCCCCGCCTCGCTCTTCTGGTGGCTTCGCTGCTGGAGGCCTACCTCCTCCAGCACACCCTGCTGCCTGGCTGGGCCTTTCGCACGGCGACGGCCTTGACCCTCGCGATCAACTTGGGCCTCCAGCTGGTCTGGGGAGTCTTCATCTATCCGTACTTCGTGACACCATTGCGTCATCTGCCTACTCTTTCGGTAATACTCCCTCCGGACACATTCCACGGACAACACATTCAACCCCAACATACTTCCCAATGAAGTCATATAACCTCCTCATTACACATGCCATGTACACTCATGCCAAACACTCACTGCGAGCAGGGAAACCTCAACCACGCCCGAGTTCTCTTCGACGACCCCCGCGGCCGTCTCCCCCTGCAATGGATGAAGACCATCCCCAATGACGGGCTCATCCATTTCCGCGATATTTTCAACCGGAGCTTCCTCCTGGCTACCAACCATCAAGCACTACTGGATATCATGAGCACCAACACGTACGACTTTGAGAAGCCGTGGCGCCTGCGTGATTTCCTCGCCCGCATCATCGGGTTCGGCCTGATTCTGTCCGAGGGTGTTGCGCACAGGAAGCAGCGCCGGGCGTTGACTCCGTCGTTCCACGTGCGAAACATCCGTGCCCTGTACGGATTGATGTGGGAGAAAACGGGCCTGTTGATGGGTGAGTTGCAGAAGGAGATGGATTCAAATGAGGACAAAGTGGAGATGAGTGTTTGGGCGAGGTAGGCCCCCTTCCCTTTATACAACTTCCTCGGCCTTTGATTCACTATACTGACCGGTCTAGTCGCCTCACGCTGGATATCATCGGCCCTGCTGCCATGGGCCGCGACTTCCGATCGCTCCATAATCCCGAGAACAAGGTTGCCGACAGCTTCCTCGCCATTCTAGAGCCCACACGCGAGAAGATGGCGTTCTTGGCCGTCAACGGGCTCCTGCCCCAGTGGATCGCGCGTCGACTACCTTGGCGCCTAAACCGGGTTATAGACACAGAGACGGAGTTTCTGCGCCACATGTGCAAGGAGATCCTGGTCGAGAAGAAGGCTTCGATTGCGTCGACCAAGCTCACGGCAGCGGAATTGGAAGCGGATATTTTGGGGACGATGATGATGGGAGGAGATTTCTCCGATGATGAGTTGGTGGATCAGATGTTGACCTTTCTAGCTGCTGGGGTAAGCCTTTTTCTTATCTTTATCTTCAGACCATACTCCACGATCCACCCTCCTTTCCACCCTGTGTCACGGAGGGACGTTGATATGAGGACAGCACGAAACCACGGCTAGCGCCTTCACCTGGGGTTGCTACCTCCTAACCCAGCATCCAACGATCCAAACTCAGTTGCGGGACGAGATCCGGGCTCGTATCCCGACAGGCCATTCCGCCATTACCCACAACGATCTAGAATCGCTCCCCCTGCTCAACGGTGTATGCCAGGAAGTACTGCGGCTGTATCCGACGGTGCCGATGACGCTGCGCGAGTCAGTACGCGACACAACAGTGGCAGGCCAACACGTGCCCCGAGGCACGCGCATCCTGCTGTGCACATACGCAATCAATCGGTGCCCCGAGTTCTGGGGTGCGGATGGTGAGGCATTCCGGCCGGGGCGGTGGATTGACACGGACGAGAAGGGCAATGCGGTGGTCAACCAGCGTGGCGGGGCGGTTACCAACTACGCACAGATCACCTTTCTGCATGGCCAACGGGCCTGCATCGGCAAGGACTTTGCGCGGGCTGAGTTGCGATGCGCCTTGGCTGGGATTGTGGGCCGGTTTGCCATGGAGATGCAGGATCCCAAGCAGGAAATTCATATTGGGGGGGCTGTTACCACCAAGCCGGTGGAGGGGATGCATCTGCGGATGAAGCGGGTAGAGGGGTGGTAGGAGAATAGTTAAGTAGTTAAGTAAGTAGTAAGTAGTAGTCTAGGATTGATGAATGTATGTATGTATGTATGTATGCATGTGTGTATTACCTAATTCAGTGCCGGTGGTGGGGGTGAGTGTGTGCATGTCTGCTGGCACGTCCATGCCGGTGGGTTTCTCCCTCTTTCTTTGCCCTTGTCCTGTCCTCCTCCTCCTCCTCCTCCTCCTCCTCCTCCAGTCCATCTTCCTCCAGCCCCGGCCAGTCTTCCCATCCATCCTCCCACATCCCCTCCATCATCTCCTGCTTCCGGACTCGCGACCGCCTGTTTCGACGCATCACCCCCTCCCACTTCGCCATTTCCGTTTCATCCAGCAGGCACTCGTCCAGGAGCTGCGTGATGACCTCCGGATCAATGCCCTCCCCGATGAACACCAGCTCCTGTCTCCGGTCCCCCCATTCGCCCTGGAAGTCATCCTCCACCGACTGGCGCACGTCTGCATCCTCGGGCCATGCCTCGTCCGGCAGCTCCGCGAACCACGCTCCTCCACAGCCCACTGTCAGCATTGCCCCCGCTTGGCTCCATTCGCCGAACTGGTATGGCCGCGTCGCCAGCCAGAAGAAGCCTTTCGACCGGAGGATGGGTTGGAGAACGGGATGCGCGCGTTTGTTGGCCAGGATGGTATCAGGCGAGAGGTCATCGAAAGGGGTGATCTCTTCTTCTTCCTCTTCTTTGTCCTCGTCCTCTCCATCTGAATTGGAATTTTCACCTTCATCAGACATCTCTTCATCTTCGTCTTCATCTTCATCCTCCTTGTCATCATCTCCACCCGCATTCTGCAACAGAATAAACTTGTCGTGCAGCAATGCAAACAGCCGTTTCGGACTAAATGGCCGTCGGGCCGTATACACGAAGTTGTTGATTCCATACCTTTCAATTTCCGTTAGCACAATCAATACCAAACAAATGACAGAAAAACATACTCCACCGTCTCTGGCCTCGGCGCCACCCTCTCCCCATTCGCCGTTTGAATGCGACTCATCTCATGCAGACTCCGCAGCCAGCCTGCCCCACTGGCTGCCCGCACGAAATCAAACCGCCCCGTGCCCAGGATTTCCCGCACGTCGATCCGGGAGTAGATGGCCTCGAGAACCCGCGCTGCAGGGTTCAACAGGTGAAGGAGGCTCCGGATTCTCTGCTTTGCGGCCTCATCCACCATGTCGAGCTTGTTGATGACTATGACGTCCGCAAACTCGATCTGGTCTACCATCAGGTCGGATATCGTGCGCTCATCTTCGGGGATGATTGTGTCTGGTCCATAGCGGTCGGAGAGGAACTCGGGTGTATCAAGGTTGGCATACAGGTTGAAGGCGTCGAGCACGGTCACGGTTGTGTCCAGGGTGGCCATGGTGTGGAGGCCGCCGAGTTCGACTCTGGATTTGGGGATCAGTATAGAGAAGAGGAACGGGATCGATTACACACATCTGGTTCAGGATCTTGCGTCCTTCCTCGTCTATCCCCAGACCCTCCCCGCTATCATTCGGGTCGGCGGATCCAGCCTCCAGCATAGCAGCACTGAACTCCGCCGTGAACGTCTCGGCCACCTGCATCGGCTCGCTGATCCCCGTGCTCTCGATCACCACATACTCGACCCCTTGTTGTGTGGTCAGGCGAGCAAGCTCTGCCAGCAAGTCGCCGCGCAACGTGCAGCAGATGCACCCATTCTGGAGTTGGATGAGAGATTCTTTGGTGTGTGAGACGGTGTGATGATTGATGAGAGTGGCGTCGATATTCAAACTGGACTTGGTTAGGTTGCCAGAACTTGACTGCTCATAGACGGGGTAATCACCTGCTCATATCGTTCACAATCACCGCTATCCGAAGCCCATGGTTCGGCGACTGGAGAATGTGTTCCAGGAGGGTGGTTTTGCCGCTTCCCTGGTTCCCGTGCGTTAGAGTTAGGGCTGACTGACCGATCAACCGTCAAGGACAAAGGAAAGAACGACATACTAGGAATCCGGATAGAAGAGTGACAGGGAGCTGTTTCCTTTCTCTGCCTTTATCTTCCATGCCATTCCCAGCATTTAGGTCGGGCGCTGAGTAATGGATGGATTCTTTGCCGGAGTTGATGGTCATTGTGTCAGTTGCGATACGTCCCGTTCGCTTCTCTTTCGCAGGAGGGAGATGGTTCCTTGACGGACTGGTCTGGCTAATTCATTTATATACCTCATCGCGCCAGTGACCACCAAGGTATATAGTATGATGTACCACTGCTTGTCCGGGGTAATACGGCATCACCATCGCCCCGATTGGTGCGTCAACGACCTCCAAGGTCCCTAGGGATGCCACAAGGTCCTACCGAGCATCTCAAGGTACCCATTGTCGCCAGTGACCACAGGCGTGTTATGTTCTCTCGCTTATCATTGGTGCCGTGGCATTCCATACCATGGTCTATCTATCCTCTAGTTACAGATCGTCATGCGGACTATGTGGCTACTTTGTGGCCGTCGAGTTGGTCTCGCATGCCACCCCAATTCCCCCCTCGATGTCCGAGCAGATAATCTCCGGCGGACTGCCCGCCGGACTCGTCAGCGATATCCCCTTCAGCGTAATATTCGAGCACACAGCATCCGGCGAGCACGCCAGATCAGCAACCACCAGCCCATCGGCCCCGGAGGACGTCCCCCAGATGTTTTCGAACAGCACGTTGGTGAGGTTCACGGCCGACGGGTACTCGGCGCACTCGGTCGCGTTCACGTCGAAATAACACTGATCAACCACGATCGGGGCGTCCGTGTTCTGGATCTGAATGTTCTTGTACGTGATGTTGTTCATGCGGCCGTAGCCGACGTCCTTGCCGGCCCAGGCCTTGAGGCGCGCCCCGGCCTGTCGCCTTTAGTATTTCAAATGAATTGGAGCGTGGGAAATTACCTCTCCATTCAACAACGTCACGTTCTCGATATACACATTTTCAATGATATCCAACTCCCCCGCATACTCACCGATGCTACCCATGCTCACTCCGTGCGTGTTGTTGCACCACAGGTTCTGCACGAAGATGTTGGTCGTGTTCGGCTTAGGCGAAAAGCAGTCATCGCCCACATCGATGCGCATGTTGGTGACACTAAACCCATCTACGTTGAGCGAGTCGAACCCGTCGGTATTTTTGGGGTCCGCCTGTTTCGTTAATATCTCGTGGTGCGCGGTAGCCGGAGGGGATCACTCACCGATGCATTCGTCGAGAACGCATGAATATAGACATTGTCAAACGAAATGTCCTTAGTACGGACGAAAAAGTTGTTCCAGCACGGTGAGTTCAGCTGCGTGATTCCCTCGACCGACACACGTGTGGCATTGTCGGTCAAAAACAGGATTGGTCGATAGAAGGTGTTGTCGGGGTCCTGGACAGTCAGGTCAGCCACCATCACCACAGTTGGAGACAACGAACATCTCACCAAGATCTCCATGCCGGCAAACTCATCATACCACCGCTGCCCGTTCCCATTCAGGACTCCACTCCCGAAGATCTTGATATCTTGTCCACCCCATACCCAAAAGGTGATGGACTTCTGGAACTCGTAGTAGAAGTTGTTGGCTTGCCAATAAGTGATGTTGTTGGTGAACTATCCCATCAGTCTGCCGTCCCCGGACACATGGTGACAAGAGGCTTACCTGAATCTCCCCCTCCAACTGCACCTCTACATCATCCAAAAACGTCAGGTCCAACTTTTTCCCAATGACATACGTCTGCCCCTTCTGCAGTAACAACCGTCCGCCGTGATTGGCCTGCTGTAGCCCCCACAGGAAGTCGCTTGAGACATCGTCCTCCTCGCTCTTCGAGGCCCGGATGGTGACGGTCTGCCGGTCCGGGTACTTGGGATACTGGGCCCCAATGGCCTCCAGCCCAGCTATATCTGTTGCGGGAATAATCTGCGTCCCGGGGATGACTGTGTCCACCGCCGCACCGGTGACCAAACCGGGAACGGTGCTCAAGACGAGCGTGGCAAGGGAGAGAAGTCTCATGACTGCTAGACGACTGATTCTATCTGCTCAATCGACCCTTCTTTCCTGACTGCTACCGTCGAGGTCCATTTATACCATGCTACGGCTGAGACGGGCTCTTCCCGCATGGCCTGGGGACTGGGGTATTCCCCACGGGGAAACTGCGGATGGATTTTCCACCTGTAGGACGAAGACCGAGACGGCAGAATGTTGCGCGCATTCTCGAACCCCCGTGACCAGCCACCCGGTCGAGTTTGACGGCCCATTGGCTTTGTTCAATTTCCCCGGATTCTTGCAGAACGCGGGGGATCTTCCACCAATTGCGATGGGGTGTTGGTCCCTTTCAGCAATGACGGTGGATGGTGGACAGTGGACTGATGACGGATCCAAACTGCCAGCTACAGCCAGTATAGTGCAGTGATACATGGGATTGGGAGCCATGGCAGTGTGGTGCGATGACTTGGCAGGTGGAGGAGGTAGCAGGGGTTGACGACTGTCGGCAGATACTAAATATGTATCTACCCAGGGACGGGCTTTCTGATTGATGGAGGCAATGGAGGACCTCCGATGCAAGAAATTCATACATCCTTGGAGTCCTGGAAGGGAAATCAGTCACTGACTCGATAGGGACAGGCCCGTCATCCTCCCGGCAAACCCTAAGGACCTCATCCTTTCTACCTGATGGGACAGTCCTCACAGCTCATATAGTAGCAATACCAACTGCCAAACTATCCTGGTCCCAATATCCCCAAAGGATATCCGAGTCTAGTCGATCATTCTTGTCCCATCCGATCAGACAAGCGACCCCCGTGAAGATGTTTGATGTGATGCACCCCCCTCCCCCCAATGTCCGTGCTGAATAAGAATGCGGGCCCCCGCGGATGATTGACGATCTGACCGGGCGCATCCGAGCTCCTCCCACTGACAATCCACGACAGTTGATCCTTGGACCTGGCAGCTGCTCCCAGGCTTCCCAGCACGGCCAGCCACGATGCTCTTGTTGACACTGCCCGTGTTAGTCGCCGCGCTGTTTCTGCAGGGCAAGTTCTCCGGGCAGCCCGCGCTGGCCAGCACCCTCTATGGCCTCGTCTTCCTCAGCGCCTGTAGCGCCATTGTCTTCCCGCCCGACTCTGGGGACTTTGTCAAGTACACCAATGCCTTTCTTTCCGCCTCGTTAATCATCCGCGCCGTGGAACTGCTCCTCGTCCAAGACCCTGGCCAGCTGAAGCACCTGGAAAGGGTGTCTCACTCGCGGTATGCCTGGGAGCCCATCTCCCGCTCGCTGGGACTACGGCGTCTCCTCCAGGTCTCGGACCTCGTCACCAACCCGCGCGCCGTCGGCTGGAGCCACAGTTCGCCCAAGTACTTGCCGCCGCTCCGACAGGTCGACCCGGTGGAAGTCAACGGGTGGCATTCCCCCGATCATCGTCATCGTGATCATCATCATCCGGTCGTGCTGGTCGCGACCGCGGATCGCCTCCCGTTCCTCACGGCCCAGCTGTGCCGGGCCGTCGTCGCCTACGTCTTCATCGACACGTACCAGGCCACCTTTGCGCGTCACTACCCGGACGTCTGCCACGGTGTGCAGGCCCTCCTCGTCACCATCGGGTTGCCCATTCATGCTTCCGCCGTCAACAGCGAGATGCTCGTCCGGAGGTATCTACTGCCTCCCGCATGCTGGATGACCTCCTATGCCTTCGTCGACGGGATCCACGCCGCGGGCGCCATCTTCTCCGTTGGCATCCTCCCCTTCCTCGCCCCATCCCTCGCTGGCGACCCTTGGATGCATCCCCCAGTCTTCGGTCCCCTCCGATACATGTTGACCTTCAGCCTCCGAGGTATTACCCCCCTCCCCCGCCCGTCCACCAAATTTCCTAACCCCTATCAACCCTCCAGACATCTGGGGCAAAATGTGGCACGACCTCTGTCGTCGTCCCTTTCTCGCCCTCACCCTCGCTATTATCCCCTCAGCATTTCCTCTCCCCCTGAAACGCTTCCTGGTCATCTGTCTCTCCTTCGCCGTGTCCGGCCTCGTCCACAGCGCCGGAACCTACGCCGTCTCGCACGACTGGACCGCCGTCGCCATGATGATGCTGTTCTTCGGCGTCCTGCCCCTCTGTATTGCCGCCCAGCAGATTCTCTCCGAGCAGCTTCTTCCCCGTCTGCTACCTGCCGGTTCTGTTGCCAAGTTCCTCATCTGGCTCCTTGACGGGGCGTTTGTCATGGCCTGGGGCTACCATACTAGCCCTTGGTTCATTAAGCATAGTAAGTTGCCCGAGGCTATGGCATCCATTCCTCTGCCGGTTAGTCTGTGGGGGCTTGTCGTCGGTGCTTAGATCTTGCATGTCTTCTTTCCTTCCATTTTCCATCTTTTCCTTTTTCGGTTTCTGTTTCTTTTCCCTTTCATTTCCCTTTCCCCAGTGACGCATCTGGGATGATGATTAATGAAAGAAGAAGATGGGGAAGGGGGGGGGTTGGTATTAAACGGCATCTGCTTGCTTGGTGGTTTTGCATACATCCCACGATACCATTCATGATACACGGCGGTCGTAGAAGAGAAGAGGGTGTCTGTTCGGGTTAACGCGCAAGATAGAGGTGGTCGCAGGTGCCTTGGATGCATAGCGCACCCCGATTTACTAGATCAGTAATGGTAGATCAGAATATACCCGGTGTTGTTGATGGGGCCCCTTGTTACTTGTACTTGATCGCGCCCACGCTAACCGATTCCCACGGCTGAAAACTACTACAGCTGGCGGCAGTGCCCCCAGCGTACAATCCAAGGCGAAGGCCATCCAGCCTTGATCAGGCCGTGTGAAGGATGGGTTTGGGGAGTAAAAGGGCTCGAGTAGCCATAGGCCAATATTGATACTTCAGAACCGTCAAAAAAAATGACATCATATACAAACTAGCCAAACACCGGCAAACACCGGCAAACATGGACTGACAAACCGCCCCTGTCTCCTCAATTGCTCAAGTGATTACCGTCGCACACGAAATATGTTTAGTCGCCGCCAATCGATCCCCTCGAAATAATCCCCGACTTCCCGCTGGATATCAATGGGCCGGAACAATCCGCACGCGCTGAGAAAAGATGCTCTACAACGCTCTCATCCGGACGCATCACATCACCTCCCGCAAAAAGGTATCGGCCCTCAAACGCGCGGCCGATGCCCACAGCTGCGTCGTGCTCCTCCGGTCTGGCGGCTGTCCCGGCATAATGTACGTCGAAGCGAGTGAGAAGCATTCTGTTGAATCGTGGGTGAATGTGGTGCGAAATCTGCGCTACAAGGATTTTCAACTAGCCACCCGCCCTGGGCCTTTGCAGGACGAGAACCAAACAGAAAGCGGGAAGCAAAGGGAGACTTCACAATCCATGGCCAAAAAATCACAGGCTGGAGTGTCTGAGGTTGACACTGTCAAGGAATTTGGGAGCTTGATGGAACAACGTGGTGTTTGGAAATGGTGGAGAAAGGGCATGGGATACGTGAGCTGATATGACTATCGGCTGCATTTGCCATCTCCATGGGGATGACCCCCTAATCACGGCAGTACAACTCCAGATCTGCGCTTGCCCATCCATCCACAGAGGCATTCGCAAGCTACCAGGTCCAGGCTTAGGTATACCCCGGAACTTGACCAATATCCGATTGAGGCTGCATACAGTCAGTGATCATGCTAGACTGGGACTCTATCCAGTTATGTCTAGTCAGATCTTCGATCCTCATTTCCGTGCTTCTTGATCGACTCAATATTTGGCCTACTGAAACCGCGGAATATGCACACTCTTACTTCTGTGGGTATTCCGGCTATCCACAGAACGGAGGAGAGCCCATGAATGAGGTCTCTCGGGACGCCAGTGGCTCGTGTCTGTCTAAATGGTGCAGTCTAGCCAAAGGGTTGACCGGTAAAATGACAATATGGCTGACCCAATTCATCTACTGGTAAAGAGAGACCTTATCTAGTTTGGCTTACACGGTGATTTCCAGTGCGGTTAGAAGAACTTGAACGATCTCAGCCCTCTATAGACACGTGCATGGGTTTCGACGGACTATCTGTCCCAGAATCCTTGATGGCAAACGTCCAAATCAGAACTATGGCTCCATGGTCACCCCATTGCATTTACCCAGTTTCCGTAGCATGAGAAAGGCTCTGTGCTGAAGAACCCCAAAAAACATGGCGCATATCGCATGCGACAAGATGATACTACGTACAGGAACGTTTGTTGTACTCTGCGATGACAAGATATGTCATCTAGCCCACGTCGGCCTTGACACCCCCGCAAACACCGAAGACATACTACATGGCTGTGATGGTCCGCAATCAAAGTGACACCTGGATGAGACCAGAAGCAAACAAATACTCTCATCATACTATCTCGTCCGGCTCTAATTCTGCCTCAGTCTCGCGTCCTGAGTAGACCCGAGGGTGGCCAAGGTCCGTATACACAGAGTACTGGGCTGGAAACTTGGCTCTGAATAATGCTGGGTTACATGCCAGTCTGCCCAGCTTTCTTGTGTGCTCTCCAACAATGTATGAAGCGTTCTATTTTCTCAATCGGAATGAGTAATTTAAGCTTTGCATATGGTACTAATAATAGCTGCTCAATCAGATGTCGAATGTTTCAATCGCCGGGCCCCTTCAAAATACCAACAACAACACTACAAAAGAGGCTTTCTTCTCCTTCCAGGCCTGGCTGATGGGACTAATAATACAATTGGCCGTGCATGTACTAAAATTGGGGTGCCGGAGCATGGCTATCTAGGTGGTACCTGATGTCATGCCATTGACATCCGTCGGACCCGACCCGCTGGTGGATCAGTGGTGCTCGGGACCAGGGCTTACATGTTCTCGGCGAGGTCAGCCCATCGGGGGACTGAAGTCGCAGGATGCAGAACTAAAAACGCACGTTCTCTCTCTCTTTCCCCCCCCTCTCCTCTCCTGCCTCGTACTCGGAAATTTGAGTTCGGAAACTAACTCGAGGAATCCCCCAGGGCCGACACTCCGGGAAAGGGACGAAAGCGAGCTGCGCCGGTAAGAGGGCCCCGTAAGTCTTATCATCCGCAACCGGTTTCGAGACCGCGTGGTCAATGGCCGCCACGATTGCTTGTCTCCTGTTCTGGGACATTGTTCGTCCGTGTAGTTATCCAGCGATAGTTGTCGATAGTACATAGTCTAACTACCGAACGTGGTCAAGCCTGGCTTGAATCGTCTTTTCGTCAAACCGCCCGTCCTCACCAACGTAGTTGCGGAGGGCCTCCGAGAACATTAACCGCCGCGGCGCCTTTCGCCCCGTCATAAGTTCGAATTGTGAGATTGCTTGTTCCACAACATTGTCGAGGCCATCTACCAATACCCAAGGGCGTCCGGTCTCGCTGCGGATGCGACGCATCTGACGCAGCAGTGGTGTGTCCAGGGGTTTGTAAGCGAACTAGGAATCAAGAGTCAGTCAGTCGATAACATGGATTTGCCATTCTCCCAAAGTACGTACCTCAAGAACCACACCGCCGGTTGGGCTGCCTAGCCACTGCATTGGCATTTCAAAGTTGGCCGGGGGTTCATCTAGGTCCGGATCCGCGGGCACGCAAGAGGCGATCATGCAAGGAGGACACACATCGACAGGCCATTCATCCTTCAACGACTTCAACACATACACAACTTCCGTCAATTCAACCTGCGATGCGGCCCAGGAATTGAAGTGGCGAGCAACACTCTCCGCCCGCGATAAGGTTCGATTATATATGAATATTTTACGGCATCCGAGCCGGAGCATAGCGTAGACGGCGGCGCGAGCCATTCCTCCCGCGCCTATCACCAGTCCCGTGGTTTTCAACGGACTGATGGCATTGCGCGGGGAGAGATTATGGTTGATGCAGGTCATGATACCTACCCAATCCGTATTTTCTCCGTACCATCCTAAAACAGGCCCAGCCTGGTTGCGGCGACTCGCTTGCTCTTGAAGAGGAAACATGGTCCCGTCAGCACGGGCGCGCAGTGGCATGATCGTATTGATCGCTCCGATCGCCTCGACGTGGCGGCTTTTGGCCGCGAGTTTATGGGATAGCTGTACTCTCCACGGCTGAACAACGCTGGACCCTCCAAAATGGGAGTCCCTTCCCAGTCGGTCCACAATTGCAAGGGACGGTGAATCTGGGATGGTGTAGGTGTGGCTCATGCCGCAGTGGCGGAAAGCAGCATTATGCATTGCCGGGGAAAGACTGTAGGCGACGTTGCCTCCGAGTATGAAGAACTGGAGAGGATCCAGCACGTAACTTTGAAACAACGCTTTTACAGCATCACGCGACGTGATCTGAGGGTCGTGTACATTGTCCCTGGTCCGCTCAATTGCTGGATGTGTTACAGAAGTGAGGATGGAATTGAACACTTGGGAGGTGCGCCCAAGACTTCCTATATTGTAAGCGATGGCCGGAGGATGTTCGCCAGGCAACGATTGAACCTTGTTAGTAAACTTGGCAACTGCTGCATTATCATCGCGTGTCGTGGCCACCCTAAGGAACCGGACTAGTTGGCAACCCAGCTTCTCGGCTTCAAGATAAAGGGAGAAACATTGTTCACTCTCCCATGTTTCTGGCTCGGTTGGTTCAAAAATGCGTTGGCCGATGATTTTAGTCATCCCTCTAGTGCGGATTATTTCGCGGATTTGAGGGCGTTCCAGGCCTAAATCCACAGCCAAATATTCAACCGCCAGCCGTAGGGCATGCTCGGCGATAGAAACGTATATGTCGTCCACCTCTGCAGAGGAGAGGCCTCCCTTGGCGATTCCTGTTGCCGATTTATCTATGGAGATTATTATAGGTGTGCGGGCATTCCTCCGGAGTAGAGAGACCTGTTTGCTTAATATTGGCGTCATTTCCGGGCCCCAGCGGTCGACACAGAGCTCAATGGCATCCCCGCCTGACTCAAGCTCCGGCAGCTTGACAGCCCCCTCGATCAGGTCCGAGGATCGCACGAAAATCGCATGCGTGAAGGACCGGAGTTCCGGGGGTGTCTCAAGCAGTACGAAGGGAGAATCATAACTGGTATGACCCACATCCATACCCGTCACAAAGCGTACGAAGCGGGTGAAGTCTTCTTTGGCTTCTTTCAGCTTGAATGAATAGTCGACGCACCGCCGGTCAGGAGATCCCTCGTCGTTCACGGCCGAGATGCTGGAGCGATCTTCGACGTTATAAAACTCGAAATTAGAGCATGTCCTGTGCAGAGGGTCCCCCTCGCAAAGCAACTTGACCGATTGGTCTTCAAGACCCAACAGGCTCTGTATGCGATCCATGTCACGGACTATGTACACAATGGGATTTGTGGCAGAATATTGGCGAAGGTGTTCTTGAACCGGGCGCGTAAGACTACCCAGCCCGCATTCAATCACGCAGCCTGAGCGATGGTTGTCGAGCATTGTCTTGAGGATCTCGATATCACGTTTTTGGAATTCCTGGCTTCCAAAGCGCTTGAGATACTCATGTCTGGTATAGCTGGTCACCTCCTTGAAATAATGATCCTCCGTGATGAATCGCCGTTTCAACGCCGTGGCAGCAACGAACCCAAGGGACCGCTTTCCACACCCCCGGATGCCCACCAGCACCAATGAGGCATCTGGGTCAAACTTCCGGCGCTTATCTACCGGTGAGGAGGGGTGGTGCATCGTAGCCGACAACGCGGGTCAAGGGTCGTCCTATGCGGTCGTCGGTGCGGAAGATCCGGGGTGGGGTCAAAGAAAGCCCCTAAAAGCGGAGAGCACGCGAGATGCCTATTGCGTAATGATTGCGCAGTTGGATCGATCTGTAAAGAGGACTATCTGCAGCACGTCATGTTCAAGGGGGCCATGGTTCGGTCGGTTGGACAGCAGTGATAAGCGCCTTCACTTGAAGCGGAGGAGCTATATCGGAGATATGGTGGGATGAGAATAGCCGTCTGGCCGAGGTGGACGAGAGCGGTGGGAGCAACGGGGACGAAGGCGGTGAGGGTGAGGTAAGTTGTCGCAGCGGGCGGGCATGCTGCGAAGACAGGCAAAACCGCAGCAGAGACGACGCGGGGGTTGGACTTGGAGTCTGTGATTAATTATAACAGGACAAAGGCTTCCGAGCCTGGGGGCGAAGTTGGAGGGTGGGGGGAGACCATGGCATTTGGCCTCAATGCTTGGTTGCGGCCAGCAGCCACCGGGAGTCCCAAAGCGGTTCGACCTTCAAATACGGAGCACGGATCGAGTCTGAGTTCTGCCATGCGGGACCGCCTGCCCCCGGTTTCCCGGATAAAGACTTTACCAGAAACATCCCGGTGGACGGCCGTAAGCCGATCCCTGCAGTACCTCACGAGGACCGTAATGATTTATTATTACCCTAGATAGATACTAGATGCCTACCAGCCCCCGTCGCCCGTAAATAAATCGACAAGCATCCGTCGACCCCATCCTCCAGGCAGACACCAAAGGGTGGTGTTGTTAGTGTACGGGATGGGCTAATCGGTGGGTTGTCAGCACAGCTGAGATGCGAGGCGAGACCAATGGACGGAGACGACTAGATACTCTCAGACTTGGGGCGATCTGTGCCTACATTGCTCTAACCATTCCAATAATGGCCTCTAGCCCATCAGCCCTTTCGCCCACTACAGCAGAACTCAGTCGTATATGCTTAAATGAAGAAAACCTACCTAGTATTGTATCGTTCCGCGTCGTCTGATGGAACCCCCATGGTTTCGCACCACCTTCCCGGGGTAGGTAGGGACCCTGGATAATTGCCTCGGGCCCGGTGAGATGTCCCGGGCTTGGAAATAGTGAACGGGCGGCTTGTGATTGATCAAGGTTCTCTCTTATCCTGCATAGATAACTAGACAGCTACCGAGTCGGGATGCCGGACCACGTCCCGGATCCGCGAAGGATCTTTAGAAATGGGTTGTTTTCATGGACATGGAAGTGGTCAACCCGGGCAAAGAAGCTTGAAGAGAAGGAAGTGGCAGGGGTTCCGAGCCCCTGCACGTCGGCGAATCAAGCGTGGGAAGGGTTCGCTTAGTAGGGAATGCCACAGTAGGGTGCGTGCAGTACGCAGTCCGTCACTAGTGTGGTTTGGATCCGATTCTTTTAATGCCTTTGTGGGGTGAAATGATATTTCACGACGCGTTCCCCCCCGACGGCCACCAGGCCGGTTTTCGGCAGTTCCACCGTCCCGCGTGATATTAAGTTAGTGAGTCTCGAGTTTGATGACTCGATCCGTAAGTAGATGGTCGGGCGCTGGTAGCCTGAAATACTTACGTATCTAGTCGGTGATCGAGGGTGCCAGCAATCGGGCAAGAGGCCAATATGAGGAATCGCCATGTTGATCGAAACAATTATTATAGTTCAACATGAGGCAGTGACAGGATCCCGGTTCAGGATCCCCGATCGGGGAGCGATATATTTTTGGCAGACACGGTCGAGGATTCTATTTTTGCATATCTCGGGGGAGGAGGGTGGCTGAGTGAGTGAGAAGCTTGTGTGTGTAGTATACACCATTCTAGATAGATATTTATCAGTAACAAACAGTATGTAGTAGACTAGATAGATAGTAGTCGGATCGGTAGACAGATTAATGGGAAGTAATAATAGCATACCGTTGGTACCTTGTGAGTTATCGGTACATACTCCATACTCCGTAAAAGTGAGAGGGAGCGAATAATAACGCCGTGTCCCCATGATTCCCACTCGACCCAAGACGGACGGACATGGACGGCGGAAGTCTCGGTTCCCCCTGCGCAATCTTGCCGGCCGGTCTGGTACAGGGCAGTTGGGAGGAAATTTTCCCACACACCGTTGTGGAGCGTCGTGGGGATCCGGTGTGGGGTGTCTGCCTCAGGCATCAGTGGCGGTATTCCAGTTTACTGTTATACACAGTAGTACACAGTTAGGTAGGTAAAGTTTCCGAGCGAGGAATGTCAGGATCTTTTTGCCTTTTTTTTTTTCTCTTCTCTCTCTCTTTACATATATGCATTCTTTCGCTACGCAAAGGATGAACAGACTTGACAATATGAAGTATATCTACGGAGTAGTACCTACTTTTTAAAAATGTACTGTATTCCATATCATACCTAAGTCAGAAGGTCTAGTAGGGACTGTCCCGACGGAACCCAAAACTCACCCCCAAAGTCCAACTCCCGAGCCTGTCGTTTTGTCCTCGCTGGCTGATCCCGTCCGCCCACCCACCGTCCGTCCACCTTTACTTACTTACTTACGTATGTCGGTCGTCCACGGTCCACGGTCCGTATCGTGCCTTCCTTCCTTGGACCTCTGAGTCTGGCGCTTTCCCTCGGGGCCCTGTTAAACTTGGTTGCCTCAGGATGGGTCTGGGCCAATTTGATCCCCATATTGGTTGGATATGGATGGACCAAGGAGAGGCGATAGAAAGACCCTGAGGGGGCTGAGGGGAGCTATCATCCTCCCATCTTTAGACTCCCTGGATTCTTGCGTAATACCTGCCTTTCCGATTGCGTCTGGGGGACCCGATGGGTTTTGGAGCACTTTATAACAGGCGGGCATGCACTGCGCCGTGATAGCCTTTTCGGCTTAATCCAGTCCAATCCAATCCCTCCGCCGCCGTCCCTTTCTCGGCTTCCCTTTCGACTCTTGACGGGATTTCCTCCTTGCTGCCTGGCCGTGCCTTTTTTTTCCCCTTCCCTTCCCTCCCTTCCTTCCCTTCTGGTCGGTGTCGCTTGCCCGACCGACCACCTTCGCTCGCTACTACCACTACCACGAGTCAACGACGACGACTACTACTACTACTACTACTACTACTACTACTACTCCTCCTCCTCCTTACTGCTGCTGCTACTTACTGTACTACTACTTCTACTTACTACGCCTTTTCTTTCTCGCCTTCCCCTTCCCCACTCCCCCCCCCCCTCCTCACTTCTCTATCTCTCCCGCACTCCTCCCATCTCTTTCCGGTCAACTTCTTTCTTCATGATATGCCATTCCCGTCATAATTGACCCTCCTCCATGGACGAGGGTTCTGATTCGAAGGCCCCTCGACGGAAGAGGGTGTCAAGAGCCTGTGACAGATGTCGAAGCAAAAAGGTCGGTCACTTATTATCCATAACTCCCCCCTCCCTCTCTCCCCTCCCCGTGCCTTTTTTCGCTCCTCCCGTCCCCGTCTTCCCCGCCTTTCCTTTCTTCTTTCCCGACTCTCTTTCGCCTTCCCTACCCGCATCCCGATCGGTGTAATCCTACCCGAGCTGTGAGCGTCTTGCTCGGCGGCGGCGGCGGTGCGCCTGCATCGCGTCCTTACCTCTTCCGGCGCCTAGACTTGCTTCCCACCCCCTTCTCTATCTCCGTTTATCTCCTCGGATCAGGATCCGAACCGCCCGTCTGGGTTCATCTTCAACCTATCTCCCCTGCCGCCTCTCCACTGCCTGCCTCGCTCCACTACACCACTTTCCATTGACCATGCTGACCATGAGTATCACTCCAGGACAAGTGCGACGGGCTTCGTCCTGCCTGTTCCGCCTGTCAGGCCTCTGGCCAGACTTGCTCCTATGATCCCCACGCGAAAAAGCGTGGGCTACCGGAGGGATATGTCCGTGGTCTAGAAAAGCTCTGGGCCTTATCGATCTGCAATATCGATGGCTTCGAGGACACAATGCTAACACTGCTTGGTACCACCGCCGAGTCGGCTAGTCGGAGAACAAAGCTCATGTCTCTGTGGACCGATGATGGCGCATCCGAGACCCTGCATGAGTCTTGGAAAACCAGTCGCCTGTATGGCGCGCTTGAGAAGATGCTGTCTAACACCGAGCCCTCGATAGACAGCTCTGGCAAACGTCCTCGAGAGGACCAAGATGACATCCTGGGGGGTGAATGGGGATTTCGCGTAGACCGTGGCTCGACACCTCTTCCACCTAATGCCCCACGTGTCGTCGAGCCTTCGCTTTCTCCTCGCTCTAAAAAGCCTCGATTGTCTATGCCGACGGATAATCGAGCACCATCCCTTACGGTAAACGCTACAAATGCGCTGCAGTTGCCGCCTCAGACTTCCCAGTTGTTGGATGTCTATTTCGCCGTCACTCATTCTTGGTTCCCAATCGTCGCCAAGCACAATATCCTTCGCGCATCATATCTATACGCAAGCGCGCCTTTGTCTGTTGCGAAGATGGCACCCGGTTCTGGTGATCATGCTGCCCTCTGGGCCCTTCTTAGTTACACTATTTCTCAATCCCGAATTAACCCGCAGGACGGGCCGTCGGAGGCGCTTTCCAGGACCAAAGAATATTATTCGGTATCTCGGAGCTTGATTCCTTCGGAGACAGAGCGCTATGAGCTTGGGCATGTGCAGGCACTGTTGCTGCTGACGTTGGTGAACGTCGGTCTGGAGGATTGGACCGCTGCTTGGCTGCTGAGTGGGCAAGCAGTACGCATGGCGATCTCCATGGATCTAGGCGCATTCACGGACGTCCGACGATCTGATGAACTGAGACAGGGGAAGGCTGTTTTCCTTGGGTGCTTCGTGGTCGACTCGTTACTATCTTTCCGTTTGTCAAGAAGGCCGTGCATGCATCCTCGTGATCTGACCATGGTGGGCCTGTTGGAAGAGGATGGCTTAGAGGAATGGAATTCCTGGGCGGACGTTTTGCCACCTACGGGGGCCGGGCAGGGAAAGAGTCCTCCTCGTCGAGGTCCTCTGCTCGCTCTCAGCTGCTTCAACAGACTAGTTGAATTAGCCGGTGTACTGAATAAGATCGCCCGAGACTCCACGGCAGGACCGAACGCCCCTTTGTTCGCACAACAACTAGTCATGGAGCTTAAGCAATGGGACGATCGCCTGCCACTCGGATGTCGCCTGATTGGCCCCGAAAGCATTTATCCCGAACGACACTCGGCATTACTTCCCCATCAGAGCTACCTTGGTCTGACTTATGTGGCCACGCTCTTGTGGCTTTACCTTCGCATTGCCCCTCAAGAACTTGGCCTGCATCGTTCTCAACGGCCAGCCATTGAAGGGGCAAAGAAGCTCCTCTACAGAGCCCTTCCAATAGTGTCTCAACACTTGGACAACTTTCAGGTCTGCGGTTTGCCGCCTATATTCGAACTCTCCTTACGTACCATAACCGAGCAGGCATTCACTCTACGCAATAAAATCGAATCGGACATGTTCCCCTTTGCACGGTGGACCGAAGCACTTCTTCAAAGAACGGCAGAACTGAGTACAACCTGGCCAGTCTATCGTTCATTGGCCGCTTTGATCGACCATTGGTACCGCTCCAAGGACATCCCCGGGCACCCTTCTCTACCCTACCCGGGATCAGCAGGATCTACACCCAGAATGACACAGGGCATCAGTAGCAGCCCTTTACCTCCTGGCGCTATGGCTACAACAACGGCAGGGTATCAAGGTATAACGAGCGACCCTTCAGTAAACCACCACGCAAGAAGAAATATTCCTGGAATGGGAGATTCCGATTACACTTCTACCATAATGGGCATCAGCATCCCCGTGGATGGACAATATATGACGCCTAAAGATACAGCAATGGAGAATGCAGATCTCTCCATGATGGATGTGTCTTTTCAACCACCTGTGGAAGGAAGTGCTGCACATATGGAGAAGTCCGACCCGGCAACTGCTTTGAATGCAGTGCTATCGCGGGGCCCGCGTCCTCACCCGTCCACTCCCGAGTCGTCCGTCTCAAATACGATGATGCCGAGCAATGCCGCCACTGTCTTGAATGGCCGGTCAATGCCTCCAGGCGATAATGTGGATATACATCATCCTCGAAGGTCGGATACTACAGAACGTCAGATCGGATCGACAGGCGATATTGATGCCATCTTCAAGGATTTAGCATATCTCGACACCACCGAGTGGGCTAATAGTCGTGAGGCTGCCTTGAAGGATTTCGGGTTCATTGATGACAGCACATTCCAGGCTTTCTGTCATGATCCTGACCGGCTTGCTGGGTCTCAGCCCTTGGTACACCCACCATCGATTGCCGATATCTGGCCACCCCCCGGCTTCTTCCCGGAAACGTTTCAGGAGACACCAGAGGACGCGATGGAAGGATGATCGCTTGAGGTTGTCTGGGAGCAAATTCTGGCCTTCGGCCTGAGCCTCGATACAACGGGAGGTTTATAATCTTCCTTGGTTTCAACCTTTACGGGTAAGAAACGGTCGCGATAGTCCCCTCCCCCTTGCCATGTATGTGTTGCTACGCCAACCGCCAGATTCTATGGCTAGCCCGAGCAACACCCGACTACCCTTTTCTCTTCTCCCTTGTTCCTTGTTGATGATACCCAATGTAAGTAAGTGTACACTAAAACTTTCCGAAGCCAGCCAACATTGGCCACGCGCTGATACTGTCTCAGTCCAGAAAATCTGAAATGCAACAGGTAGTTTTAGGCAAATAAGTATATAGAGGAATTCTCATTACACCGGTAGATATGCATACCCGGAGACCACTGGGGCGTTTTGGTATATGGCTCCCAGGCCTCGGCTCATCTATTCCCTCAACCGTTAAATCGGGTATTGGCGATCTCACCTTAGTGACGTAGCTTTTATCCATAGTCCTAGCAAGACTAGTACGGACCGTCCGCCCCTAAGTTGCTCCACCAGGCAATTAGGCACCGATCCCTGGACTGCCACCTTAGCATTTAGCAAGCGGCGGGACACCTGCACAGTACCAGACCAAGGTGACTCCTATCGGATACGGAGTATTAATCACCACATTATAATTACCACTCTCCGTACATTACTCTTTTTACGGGCCCCATGGGGGTACGCGTGAACCGGGTGCCGCACAACCGGCCAACAATCCCCCCTCCCCTGCTGTATAGGGCAAGTCAAGCGGACTCTTCTCGTTAGCATACTCGGGACTTACCCCCTGTACTCCGTAGTTGCTCCTTAGGCCGCAGCCCTCGGATATGTTACCTGGTGAATAAATATATACCGCCACCTGTGTAGGTTGTCAATCTATGTTATAGGAAGGGACGTGGGTATTTGTCTCTCCACCAAAGAGAAAGTGGGAGGATAGGGAGGGATCTAAGTTGTTTGTTTATACGGAGTGTTGCAATAGGTATATATTTCTACCCACCTACGCATGCTCTTCCCCCATACGCAACGCCGACCCCGAAGCACTCTTGCATTTCGAGATAGATCATGATGGTTTGTTTCGGGTCCATGCACATCATGTGGTTGGGTTGTGTCGGGCTTGAATTAGACCAAAGATGTTTAATGGAAAGCTTTATTACATTCATGATGATCCATCGAGAGGTCGCAGGTAGCAAGCGCGCACGCAAAAACAAAAGCCAAGACAAAATTGCGCCAAACCGCGACCCAGTCGTCTCGTCTCCCGATGCACATAAGTGCCACGAACAATAGGAAATAATGATCGCCTCCTTTAGCCCCCTTTTATGAACCAATTGATAATTCGCAGCCTTGGAAAGAAGCTCGGAACGCCTCAACTCGTCTTCCTGATCGTATGTTATACGAGAAATGCATAAGAAATTCATCATGAAGATTAAGTGCACGAGATCATGGAACCCGATTTCGTGGACCCACACGTCGTTCAAAGAGAAATCACCGCCGCCAGCCGACGTTCCATATCACATGCGCAATATCTTTGGCCGTATTGACAGTATCAGTCACACGGTCAAGGATAGTAGAGCTCGATAGTTCCTCGACTTCATGAGCAGTAGACATCCCCGGGGACATCGAATAGTAACGGTCAAGCTCTTCGTCATCTTCGGGATTGACGAACCAGGGATGGCTTGAATTTACTGGGCTCCGTGAGGCTCGGCTTGGTTCCCAATCAAAAGCCAAGTCATTGTCGTCTTCGTCCAAGAGAAAATTAGCCGACGGTTGAATCGATTTAGCATATGCAGATGAAGGCAGACTGGATGTCGAGAAGTAGCTTGACCAACGGTCCATTATTGAGATTGTGGGCGGTTCAGGTGTGTCCCTTTTATACTTAAGCGTGGTAGAAGGGAGCGGAGCAATAGTCTTGTTTTCACTGCTGAAGCCGCCACGAGACATGCTTTTATCACTGATCGACGTCTCGGAATGAATGTGTTTCATCATGACGACACCGTCCTCCGACGGGCCATCATGAGTAGCAGGCCATTCATCACTCTCCTCTTTAGCCTCAACGGCAATACATTGCACCACCTCGTTGTTGAAATGAATGTGCCGTCTTTCGCTAGGTGATCCGATGCCAGACGATGAGGTGGTGGCGGTGGCGGTGGTACCATGGGCAGATACACCGATGAGTGCAGTGGATGGGTTATCGAGCACCTGCCCGATGTCCGACGTACAGCGTTGGAATGTGGGTCGATTACGATTTGTCTCAGCCTCCTGCGCCTTTAGGATAGCCCCCGCGTGTTGTAAAAGCGTATGCTGGGATAGAGAGCGTTGCAAGATGGTCTCGGACGCGGTTCTCTTTTTCAAGATGGGTTTCCTATCCGGATACAAGGAAGGCGTTTCGAGACGGCTTGGAGGGGGGGAGTCATTCGACGCCTTCTCTCGCCTGTTGCACGTTTTTAAAGGCCCATACAACCATGTCACGTCACAGTCCTTCAGCCTAGGATGGGTATTAGCACGCGTACCAGATAAAGACTCCATGCAGTCTCGGTGTTGAGTAGAAAGATAAAGCCACTAACCAGTTAAGATTCTCCGGAGATACTGTGCCCAAGTTGAGTTTAAGCTTTGCCCACGTCCTCCACGAAGCATTCTCTAGCCTCACACCGTTGTCGTATATGTTCCTCCGAGCGACCACGTAGCGCCATGAAGTCCAGATATCCTCCTGCCTCCACTCGTGGGACAAATAGTCGACGTGTCTCGATGGCTCATCTTCAATCGTACTATCATCAGCCGCGGGCGTTTGCGTTAATCGTTGAAAATCAACCGATGAGTCAATAGAAGCCTCGCTCAAGGTTTCTGGTTCTGGTTCCTTCTGGTCGAATTGGCTGGAGTCATAGGATGGTAAAATTAGATCACTGTCCTCTTGGTCTTCGCTCACACTTAACGACAGGCTGCTAAGAGAGGTTGGTGTCGGGGGGTAATGGTTCACAGTTGAGAGTGTGAAGTCTGGGGACGAAGAGTTTGAGCGCGATGCAGGGGAAACAACATCAGTACAGTCGGTGTGATGAAACTCGGGAACAATGAACTTAGATATAGAGATATCGGACTCTTCAAGAAAATAGGTCTGAGTGATTGGACACCGCAAGGGATCCGAAGAGAAGCGCGAGCGGACCTCTTTCGAGGGCGAAAGTACAGCCGTCATCGTGGCAGTCAGCAAAGTACATTGGTGACGAAAATGGCAGGCGGTGCAATCCTTTCAAAGATATTTAAATGGAGAGGGCTCTGGAGCAAGGATGACGGGCGAGGGGTATTAAGCACGGCGATGAAGAGCAAGGAGCCTTTGGTCGGATCAGGGAGGGAGACAAGACGGTTTCAAGCGCGCACACAGGGGAAGGGAGTGGGAAGGTCTAGAGACAGCGACAAAGTATTGAGATCATTGTACCAAGTGTGGTGGTACAAAGCCGGTCTCGAGATCTTGATTTGCAGTATATATGGGAGGCAGTTAGGATCTTGGATGGCGAGTGATATATCGCGAATGAGCTAGCTGGTGGGGAGTCTGGAGGAAAGTGCCGGCGATGTCCAGAGTTATAACTGCTCTGAAACGGGCCCCTCGGAGAAGAGGGGAAGGCCCTTGCTCAGTCGCACTAAAAGGATGGGGAACTTGGATGGCTTGAAGCTAGAGGTGAGGTAAAAGGTCCGGAATTAACCAACGTGCAGGACATGGAGACAGGGCAGGGAATGGAATGTAAAATAACGTTGACGGGGAGCGGCGGGAAACCGGGAATACCTCTTAAGTCTCACTCAGTAGTCTCAATAGTGAGACAGTGATAGTGGCGAGAGGGGGGGGGAGGGGGGGAGAGGGATCCAGACAAAAGACTGCTTCCCCCAGGTACTTACTTCATCCGGGAAAGTCACCTCTGAACTCTAGATAACCCGACATGGGTATGGAAGTAGGTACTGGTAGGTAGGTATCCCATGGATTGACGTTCACGGACAGTCAACCAACAAGTGAAGGCCCGGGGGGTTGGAGAATTCTCGGGATGTAGGTAGGTACTAATGAAAAGTAGGTACAGAGTAGTAGGTATGTGGGTACGGGATGTAATTGAGTATCACAACAGGGTCATGGTATCTACCTAGATTGTACTGTGAACGCTGTACCTCCTAGGTAGAGTAGTGAGGAAGTAGGTAGGTTAGATGGATAGATAGGTACGGAGTAGATACAGAACAGCAGATGGTGATTCTGGATTCTGTTCCCTCCCTCTGTTTCTGTTTGCCACCCAGCAAATCAAGTCCTTACTCCTTCCCGACTAGTGGTCTGTCTCCCTTCCCCACCTCCTCGGAGTTAGAACAATGATGGTTGGCTGGCAAAACCACTTAGTGTAACTTTCCGACCGACCTAACCACCCGTCATTGGATGATCCATTCTTGACACCCGGACTCGACGATCCAGAGCCAGCCCCATGACGCTTAGTCTCTCTATGGTCGACTCAGAGACGGAGTATCTTACACAGACATACTATGTACCTACCTTACTAGGTACTTACTACTCCGAGTTGAAGGGTGTCCAGTACGCAGTACCTATCTATATATCTAGCTATCTACTGGGTACCTTGGGTGTATAATCAATAGAAACATTTTTATTGCTGCTGCTGCCGAGGCCATCAGAGCCTAGAAGGGCTCCGATCCCCCGCTATCCCCCCAAGATACGCTAGTTCTGCACTGTCTGGACACTGTTACTAGTATACTAGTAACAAGGGACGTGCGGCATCCATTCCGGGACTGCATGTCAGTCAAGATATGAATGACAGCATTGGCTTAATACCAATATTTTGTCGGCGCGGGAATGAAAAGCCGGCGAGGGGTGATGATGATGATGATGATGATGATGATGCGATCACAAAATATCGAGAAAGGCGGTAGGTTACTAGTAGTGAACAAAGAACACGAAAGTTTGTTCTTCTCTTGCCCATTTGGTTTCTGTGTCTCCGCACGGTCTGTCGGAGTCCAGATCCCAGATCTTTGGCGAGCCAATGCGCGACCGTTTTACTGGCCTATTTCGGGGCACCCGCAAAAGGACGGAGCCTATCTTCTCAGAATAATAAAGGGCTCAGTACTCCGGACTACGTAGATACTCCGTGCTTCGTACATACTAGAATCCTACTCGTTATTAGCTACGGAGTACCTACTGGACGGAATGGCAGCGGCTTCCCATCCCCTGATGCACTGCTGACAAGGTACCCTGAAGGCTGCTGGCCTTCCTGGTGAGGCCAAGCTTGTGCATATTGAGTTCTCTGCCGGACAAGGTCCTCGGGAGAACACGGAACGATGGAACCGAACCACCAGCCTCTTTGTTGATCATGTTGATGTTATGTTCCTCGAGGGTTCGAAGTGTGCACGGATGTTTTTGGCGCGCAAGTACGGAAGTACGAGCCAACAACAACAACATGCAGGATGTCTTGCATCCGCTTGAGGAGACCGCGTGTATCCCTGCCACCACGCCGATAAGTCTTCGACTGTTCGACAATTAATATCCGAGAATAGATACACAGTAGCGAGGCGGATCCCCTGGTTCTTTCTTTCGTTTGAGCCTTTGGAGGGAATTTTGAGTGCGCGTCTCCCCAGAGGCTCTCCAGTGAAGCGCTCGATCTTGTGTCCCCGTCGTGTTATCCAGACGGCATATAGAGGATGACGAAATCTAGAATTTTTCACCAGGAATGCTGTGAGACCTTTTTACAAGTTCCCCTTCCCCTTCTTCTTTGTTGCGAGTCCGCATATCCTTGGTTCTTCCTGGTTTACATACATAGGTGTCTTCATGTAATGGATGTCTTAGACAGTACGCATCATCGTCTGTCCGGCCGCGTTTGGTTCCTATCTCAGCAAATGCCTACTCCCTCTAGAGCATCTAGCCATGCTCGACCCTTTCTGCAAACTCCCTGTGGCGTGTCCAACGCGGGAGGGGGCGGCGCCGGTACAACTGGCTCGGGGGGAATGTTGGAGGTTGAAACAATCTTGGTCAATGAGATTGGCCTTGGGGATTCCATATTGGCCGGCTTGATGCATGTCAGACAGCGGATGGCATAATACGTAGATAGAGCGCAAGGGCCTTCCCACGAGGGGGCTTCTGACGTTTCTCTTTGGTCGGTTGGCGCAAGCGATAACCAGCAAAAGCACGACGGCTTACCATTAGCATAGACCGTGGACCGTGGTCGTTGTTCGCCTCTCATCTATCCATCATTATGATCTACTACTATGGACGCGCCATGAACGGCTGTTCCTATCCCTTCTCAAATGTGGACTACCCACCCATATGTCATGGTACTCGATTCAGATAGCCGAGATTGGTAGCGACTCAGAGAACCCCAACGGGGCCCTATCAGAAAGCCTATTATTAGGCGTATTATTCTCGCAAGTCCCCGTCTCGCCCCGGTTATCCCAGCGTTAACCAAGTAAAGAAGTTCAAGCAAGTGTGTCGATCAAGTCTGGCATCTTTCCGGAAAGTCCCCACCACCAAACCTTCATTTATGCGAAATTTCACTGGAGATCGGCTCGAAAACGAGCTGCGACGTTTTGTAACTATGTGGTTTATAGTGTCGCAAACTCGCACATGAATAGTCCAGTTGGAGATCAAGCACCGTCTGGCAGTTGCCACCGGAGAATCCAAGTGACGCGTCCAAGCAACACGATATGGCAATCAGACCATCAACTGTCTCTGGTTTATTGAAGATAGATTTGGGTCTGTTGAAACTTGAAGGAGGGGGAGAGGACGCGGGGATACGAAACCGTCTCCGATTCTGGGGCGTTGGCACCTTTGAACTCGCGGTCTGGCCCGCCTGGCCCTGCGCCAAACTTGCTAGCTGGCGACTAACAGCGGGGTGACCTGGCTCGCTCGGGCGGCCTGCTGGTAGATCACCAACTGATTCTAGGCTAGCATAGGCTGTTGACAGGTCTAGGGTCCATTGGTATGGCACTTGGGTATCTCCGTGGTCTATCTAGAGCAAGGGCCGCGAGGCCGAAATGCCTGTCTCCTCCAGCTATTAGAGACCTTCTGTAACGGTCATTTATATTTATAATTAATATATTAGATTAGTGTTAATTTCTTAGTGGCCTGCTAAGATCTAATCAGAATAAATCTCTATAATTAATTACTTATAAGATATATAAACAAAGTATAAAGACTAGTATTTATTATTCAAAGAATTAGATCTAATATAATAATTATTAAATAGTTAGTAATCAGCAGGAAAGTATAAAAAATTTTTATTATAGAAAGAATTAAAGCTATATAAATTATTATATATATTTAATAATTTAAATAAATAAGATTTTACTTCTATATACTTTTCTGTAGATTTTTATTAAATATATAATCAGATTTATAGCTTAGTAATTAAATTATAGAATTAAAATTAAAATCTTTAATAAAATTACTGATTTTAATATAAAGAAAACTTATAATACTTATAATACTTAATTAGTTATTTTTTTATTAATAAAAGCAAGTATTAATAAAACAAGCAAGCTAAAATAAATATATTTAGCTATATAAAAAGTACTAATTTAATTCTGATTTTTACTAATCTTATATTTTCTTATAAGATAGATAGATAAATAGATAAATAAATATAATAAAGAAATATAATAAGCGAGTATAATAATTAGATAAATATAATTAGATAAATATAATTAGATAAATATAATTAGATAAATATAATTAGTAAATGAAATAGATAGATAGAATTAATAAATATATAAAGATTAGATAGAGGTCTTGATAAAGTAATATAAAATAATAAAATAATTAAAATAGATTATTTTAAAGAATTCTTTAGGGCTTATATATATATATTTATTTATATATGAATTAATACTAATTTTAAGATAGAATATTTTCTGTCTATTAAAATAATAAAATAATATAGTTAATTAGAGTAATTAAATTTCTATTTTTAACTAAGATATATTATCTAGTTATAATTGTATTTTTATAATTATCTTTATAATTATGTCTGTAATTATGTCTGTAATTATGTCTGTATTGATCTCTATTATTTTAATATAATTTTATATTAAATAAGATATAATCTGAAGCTATATTTTTATTTTTAATTATATAATTATATTATAATGTTTTTCTTTTATTTTATATCTTCTAATTTTTAAAGAATATAATAATATCTCAAAGCTTAATTATAACATAAACATTTTTATAATCTATTTTAGATATTTTTATAATTAATAATATTTTGAAATATTAATTTAATTTAAGAAATAGTTAAAAAAATATTAGATTTTTAAAATTATAAAATAAATCAAGATTATTTATTATTATCTGAGTTATTAAATAATATATATAAATAAAAATATTTTAGAAAAAATATTTTTTAAACAGTGTTACAGCCTGCAGTAATTTTATTAAAATTAAATTTAATAAATATTTTTATAATATAAATAAACCAGTACTAAGATAAAAACCTTTAGAAAAAACTAAAATAAGAAAGAGATTTATTATTTTAAAAAATATAATATTAGATATAAACTTTAAGTAGATATCTAATATCTAAATTAAATTTTTTAATAATCTTAAAATTAAGACACTTGTGAGAATATTAA